AAGCTGCAGTATTCGGTGAGCGGCCTGGAGCCGCTGGCCTGGTCGGAGGACCACCGCGTGTCGGTGTCCACGGCCCGCAGCATCGCCGTGCTGGAGCTCATCTGCGACGTGCACAACCCGGGCCAGGACCTGGTCATCCACCGCACTTCGGTGCCCGCCCCGCTCAACAGCTGCCTGCTCAAGGTAAGTCATCCCATCTCCATAGCGTCCGCGTCATCTGTGTCCAGGGAGTGCCCCCGGCACCCTGTGCTTGGGGATTAGTAACCGTCCAGGGTCGCCGCAGCTTAAAAATAAAGTAAAAAAGGCCTTGTGGCTGCTGGCGTCGTGTTTCCCAGACACCACCCCCCGCACTTTCGCACACACCTCGGCTCACGCCAACCCTTCCCTAGCCCCTGCAGTCTGGTCTACGAGCCGGGCTACTCTCGAGCTTTCTGAGACTGCACGCCCTGTGGACCCTACCCCAGACCTGCCTCTGCCCTTGGTCCTATTGTTTGGGTCCGACGCCCGGTGGTCCCTGGCGGCTTTGTTTATGTGTTGTGCTCTTCTCTGGGCCTCTTGCTTTCGAGAAGGGACTCCTGCCTTAACTACTGAAGCCCCTTCCTTGTGAACCCTCCTTGCTTCCCACCTTTCTGAGATGACTACTGGATTTTGGGTTTGTAGTGTGGTTTAACTAGCTAAATATTTGCAATGTAGAATTTAAAAATAAAGCGTCTGGAAACAAATGCAAGTTCTTAAACTTCAAATCCAAGATCAGTATAAATTTAGTGCTTTCAGCTTGAGTCAATCTAAGTTGGCCTTTATGATGTTAGCATTTCTGAAGTTGTACCGTTTTTAATGAAGTAATTGATGGCTTTGCTTTTGTTAGGAACTTAGAATTACCGAAAACTTCCGGTATTCCCTTTATAGGTCTGTATGCAAGTATGTGATATGTTAATGTTTACATTTATTCAACAGATCTTTGTGTGCTAGGTGCTGACCTGGATTTTAGAAAGAAAGCAGTTGACAAAACAGATTCCTACCACCAAGGAGCTTAGGTTCTTTGGCAAGTCATGAACAAATAATAATGTAATTAACAGGCAGTGATAGTGCTGCAAAAATATTTAACATGTATCCATATACAGGGAACAAGTTTGCACTGAAGTAAAGTTTTTCTAAACTTTTACTCTGAATGGGCATTTTGAGTACCAGTGGGGGTTCACAAAGCTCTCATCACTTTTTAGTATACTTTGAGTTTTAAAGGGACAACTTGATGAGATCATTGTTGAACTTGTATGACTAAGCCCTCTAAGGTCGTCTTGAAGAAGATGTGAACAAATTGGTTCAGGTATAAACGAATCCAGCAAGCTGATGCTGGCAATGCAGTACGCAAGGAGGGAGAGAGAAGAAAGGGATTTTAAAAGTTATGCCTTCTGATGAAAAAGAACTTTCGGTTTCCAAAGATGTTCATATGTACATGAACTAGAGAAAAGTGTGTCTGTACAGTGCTGATGGAATACGCTAGCGAAGAGATTTTTTTCTTTTAAAGAAAAATTTTTGCCATAGGCATGTGCTCTCACTGGAGGGACAGAAAGAGAGAAATCACCCTCTAGGGGCAAGGGCCACGCTGCAATTCCATCTCCATTCTCCTGTGGATTTCCGGCCCCCACTCACGTGCCTGGTGTGAATTTTAAGCCCCCAGGTCCAGAACTCAACAGAGGTCAACTTCTTTGGAGTTCAGCGGCATAACCGTTGTCATCTCCTAGTCCCGCAGAGAGAATTTAAAAATAAGCTTGGAATAGTGTGAGAGGTGTTTGATCAGGGGAAATAAGTTTTGCTATAGGGTGTATGTACTGGGATGGAGGGGGTGAGAAATCACACCCCCTGGGGGTATGGCCACATCTAAATCCCTTCTCTAGAATTTTGGGTATGCACACCTGGGGTGTTTTTCAAGCCACTGCATTCAGGACTCAGACTGCAGACAGCCTTGTGGGATTCTGCCACTTTAACCACCATGCCACCAGCCAGCTCTGTAGATGTGGTTTTAAGAAGGAAGGGCTTTCCAGGTGGTAGGAATGAGGCATTGTCAAGAGCATCAAGAGCATGTACACACGTAAGTCGTGAACATAATTTACTCTTGTCTGTGTAGTTCATCATGGGTCACAGATGCAACTTAGTAGCTCTTCTAGAGAGAGTAAGGTGAAGGCAGCTGGGGAAATTTGAAGAGCCCAAATGATGGACAATCTGTAACCTTAATCACAGTTTTACTGTATAGCACTTCTAGAAAGCTAAATGCTAAACTCCTTTGAATCTTTTGCTCTGTGATTCTGTTTAGATTATGGATTTCTTTTAGGAAAATCTGCAGTTACGTAACAGTTCAACATTAAGTTACTGTAGAGGGCTCTGAGGTTATGTGATATAAAGGTGATCGTTGTAAATCTGAAAAACAAAGTAGTAATTTAAGAATAAGTTGGCGCCAGCCTGAGGCACAGTAGTTAAGGTGACTGGATCCAGACCCGGGGGCTTGAGAAACATACTGGGCGTGTGTGTGTGTGTGTGTGTGTGTGTGTGTGTGTATACCTAAAATCCTGAGAAGAGGGACAGATGGAAGAGAGAAGATTGCAGTGTAACCATCTCCCGTGGGGGATACTTTCTTTCTTGAAAAAGAGAGAGGGAGGAAGTCAGGCCAGCTGGTGGCATAGCGGTTAAATTGTTGGCTCCCATGTGGCCGACTGTGCCGCTCCAGTCCAGGACCCAGTGGCTTAAGAAACATTGCTGGGCACAAGTATGTGTGTGCTCCAAATTGCAAAAGGTGAGAGAAATAAAAGGATATGGGATTGTAGCATGACCATCCGCCATGCGGGGTATTTTCTTACCCCCTTCCCACCATGAGTACGCATGCCCTCTGGTAAATTTAAGAAAAAAGTTCAGTCTGTTTTTCTCTCCAGTGGAGTACTAAGCCAGATTCTACATGGCCAACCAAGTGGTTCACGTCCTGGCCCCAGTGACTTGAGAAAAACACCAAGTGTATGTGCCCCAAATCCCAACAGGACGGAGAAGTGGAATGGGGGGAGTGAGTTAATGTGATCACACCGCGTTGGGAGGTGCTTTCTCCCTTTCTCTCTCTCTCTCTTTCTCTCACTCTGGGCAGCACGGATGCCCTCTGGCAATTTTTGTTTGTTTGTTTGTTTGTTTGTTTTGTAAAGCTTGGCTAACTTTGGTTAAAAAAGTCTTCAGTAGTTCTGGCCAAGAATTCAATGTGTTCCTACAACTTTTCCAAGGAAATGATATATAACATACAGCATTTTCAGACCATGCCAGCAGGTGACATGGTGGTTAAGGCACTGTATCCCATGTTGCTGATTCCCCAGTTAGACTCCTGGACCCAGGTCCTGAAAAACATGCTGGGTGTGTGCGTATACCCAAAATCCCAAGAGGAGAATGGAGGTGAAGGGATTGCATCCCCTGAAGGATGATTTCTCAATTTCCCTTTCTCTGTCTCTTTCCAAGGAGCGCATGCCCCCTTATGGCAAATGTATTTGCCACAGAACTATTTTTCACAGAATGATTTTAATTTTTCTATAGGATGTGTGTACTTGCTGAGAGAGAAAGAAAGCATCTCACCATGAGGGTGGTCCTGCCACAGTCCCTTCTCCATTATCCCCTTGGGGTTTGGGGCACGCATGTGCATGCATCCTTTGCGCCTTTCAAGCCGCATGGTCCAGGACTCAAACCATGCAATCAGCCACATGAGATTCAGTCACCTTAACCATCACACCAGTGGCTGGCCCACTTTAGGAAAAGTTAGTCATTTGGTGGATGAATTTGTATATGCCTTTCATTTCACATGTTTGTTATGCCATCTAGCAATTCCAGTAGAGCAAAGAGAGTAAGCTTAGATTATTAGAGTTGATCCTTTGCTGGTTTCTAATGATCACTCCTATCTGCGCAAATTGTTCATTTGTCAATACATTGCTGAGTGTTATTCCTTACTAGGCTTAATGGTTTGCAGTTTTTATTACCTGTTTACTATTTAAGGGATATTTTTCAACTCTTTGTTGTACTCTGGTTTTCTGACACATCCTAGTTGTCCAGACTTATTTACGATGTAATGGGTGGTTTTGAGTCAACATCTTCCAAGTTCTTTCTGTATCCTGGAGTGTAATTCTTCAGGATTTGGGAACTTAAACTCATTTAAATTGACTTTTATTATATTCATATATGTCCTAGACTTAAAGTCCTTTTTAATTATGTTCTATTTACAGTTTAAAAATCAGCTTCTCTAAAAAAACAAACTGAGACACAAAAAAAGAATCAAAAAGTTTCTGCTTTATCTTTTATCCAGATCTCTAATGATAGTGGATTAAATCCTTCATTCTTCTTCCACCATAACAGGAACCATCCTTTGCTTAACATTTGCTCTTTTTTGACATTAGCCTTCCTGTTTTGCCACATGATTTTTTTTTTTTTTTTTTTTTTTTTTACTATAAGAAATCACCTCCCCCCTCCAGGGGAGATGGCCACACTATAATCCCTTCTCTTGGGATCTTGGGCACGCTCACACACATCCCCAGGGGTTTTTTGTTGTTGTTGTTGTTTGTTTTTTTTTTTAATTTGACCAGAGAGACAGAGAAAGGGAAAGCAAGAAAGGAATCTTCTAGGTCTGGGACTCAAAATGCAATCAGCCATGTGGCAATCCAGCATCTTTAAACACCATGCCACCTGCTGGCCCCAACTCCGCATTAGTTTTAAGCTGCCAAGTCCAGGATTCAGCATGGTTGACTAACTACGTGGGAGTCCAGTGACTTAGCCATCACACCATCTGCTGGTCCCATATTTGTTTGTTTATTTTAATGGCTCTGGACTACTTTCTTTTGTCATTTATTCATCTTGTTTGTTTTTTAGGTTTTAGTCATAGGGCATGTGTACTCGCTGGAGAGAGACAGAGGGAAAGTGAGATATCACCCCTACCCGACATCCACTCCCTGGGGTAAGGGTGGCCTCACCACAGGCCCTTCTCCGTTCTCCTCTTGGAATTTTAGGTATGCATGCATGCACACCTGGCGTGATTTTCAAGTCACCAAGTCTGGGACTTGAACCACATGACCAGCGATGTGGAATCCAGCTCCTTAACTTCTATGCCACTTGCTGGCCCCACTTATCCATCTTTAATGACCATTTAAAATCTTTTTTCAAAGCTCACCGTCACATGTTGGACACTATCAATGCATATTATATTATAAACGTAGAGGGTGGAGAGATGAATGAAAACGTAACATGATTTCAGACGGCCTTATAGGAGAAACTAGACCTGGTAGAATAGATGGGATTTAGAGAGAGGGGAGGTTTGCACTAGGGAATCTGAAAACAAAGGTACAAATGTTTGGGAATGGTGAATAAAGTTGTCCAATTGGAGCAAGTATTATTCTATAAGAACAGTAGACAAAGCAGTTAAAGTTGGCTCTTAGCATAATTTGTGAATAAAGTTTCAGATAAAAAACCTAATGCTGACATTTGTATCACATTGGTACTGTAAAACAAAATATCTAATTGTGTCAAAGACATACAAATATGTATATGTTTAAGATTTTTGCGTGTGTGCTTGCCAGACAGGAAAAGTGAGAAGTCAGCCTCCCCAGAGCACATGGCCACGCCGCAGCCCCTTCTCCATTCACACGCCTGCTGTGTGTTTTAAGCTGCCGGGTTTGAGATGCAGACTGCCAAGTTAGCCATGTGCGTCCAGTGCCTTAACCACTAAACCACCTACTGGCCCTGGATTTTTTTTAGTTTTAGCACTTTTATTGTGTTGTTGAAAAAGTCAAGACATATATTTTCTACACAAAAATGCGTCATGACTCTTCTAACAACCCAGTATTAAGAATCAAGGACATCTCTGTTGCTTATACCAATTTTTTTGAGAGGTTTTTGCTATAGTATGCGTGTACTCGCCAGGAAGAAAGACGGAAAGCGAGAAATCATCCCCCAGAGGGCATGGCCACACCGCAGTCCCTTCTCCTCCATTCTCCTTTCGGGATCTTGGGCATGCACACACATGCGCCCAGCATGAGTTTAGCCACCAGGTCTGGGACTTGAACCGCAGTCGACTACATGGGTCCAGCGACATAGCCATTACGCTAACTGCTGGTTCCGCATATATCAATTTTAAGAATATGAGACCAGGCTTATGAATAATGATAACATTTATTCTGACTCTTTAAGAATTTGCTATTCCCTTGAGTCAATGCTCATTTAGTCTTTTGATATGTGATATTTCACATGTCAAAATTAACAGAATTGATAGAAAATTGTTTTATAAATGTGAGTCAGTGCAGATCAACATTTATCTGATAGCTTTTATATCTCTTATTTTCAGGTTGGCTCAAAAACAGAAGTTGCTGAGGTCAAGGAGAAATTTGCCACCTCTAAAGACCCTACAATCAGTCAGACTTTCATGTTGGATAGAGTGTTCAACCCTGAGGGGAAGGGTTTGCCTCCACTGAGAGGGTTCAAGTACACTAGCTGGTCCCCCATGGGTTGTGACGCCAATGGCAGGTGCCTCCTGGCAGCGCTGACCATGGACAATCGCCTGACCATCCAGGCTAACCTTAACAGACTGCAGTGGGTTCAGCTGGTCGACCTGACTGAGATTTACGGAGACCGTCTTTATGAGACTGGTTACAGGCTCTCCAAAAATGAGGCACCACAAGGAAATCTCGGGGACTTAGCTGAGTTTCAGAGGAGACACAGCATGCAGACCCCGGTCAGGATGGAGTGGTCGGGCATCTGCACCACTCAGCAGGTCAAGCACAACAACGAGTGCCGGGATGTTGGCAGCGTACTCCTGGCCGTCCTCTTTGAGAATGGTAACATCGCTGTGTGGCAGTTCCAGCTGCCGTTCATAGGGAAGGAGTCCATCACTTCGTGCAACACGATGGAGTCGGGAATCAGCTCTCCGAGTGTTCTGTTTTGGTGGGAGTATGAGCACAATAATCGGAAAATGAGCGGCCTTATTGTGGGGAGTGCTTTTGGACCTGTAAAAATTCTTCCTGTCAATCTCAAAGCAGTAAAAGGCTATTTTACTTTAAGGCAGCCTGTTGTCTTGTGGAAGGAAATGGACCAGTTGCCTGTGCACAGTATCAAGTGTGTACCTCTTTACCATCCTTACCAGAAGTGTAGTTGTAGTCTAGTGGTGGCTGCAAGGGGCTGCTATGTGTTCTGGTGTCTTCTTCTGATCTCCAAAGCAGGTCTGAATGTGCATAATTCCCATGTCACGGGCCTGCACTCACTGCCAATTGTCTCCATGACTGCAGACAAGCAGAATGGAACCGTGTACACTTGCTCCAGCGATGGGAAGGTGAGGCAGCTGATCCCCATTTTTACAGATGTTGCGTTAAAGTTCGAACACCAGTTAATTAGACTGTCTGAAGTCTTAGGCTCGGTGAGGACTCACGGCATAGCAGTGAGCCCCTGTGGTGCCTATCTAGCCATTGTTACCACTGAGGGCATGGTCAATGGCCTCCATCCTGTGAACAAAAATTACCATGTCCAGTTTGTCACTCTCAAAACCTTTGAAGAGGCGGCTGCCCAGCTCCTGGAGTCTCCAGCTCAGAATCTGTTTAAGCAGGTAGACTTAATAGACCTAGTACGCTGGAAAATTTTGAAAGATAAGCACATCCCTCAGTTTTTACAAGAAGCTTTGGAAAAAAAGATTGAAAGCAATGGAGTCACCTATTTTTGGCGGTTTAAGCTTTTCCTCCTGAGGATTTTGTATCAGTCAATGCAAAAAACCCCTCAAGAAATGTTATGGAAACCCACACAAGAAGACTCAAAAATCTTACTGCTTGACTCACCTAGGACAGGCAATGCTGAAGACGAACAGCAAGAAGAAGGTACTTCCTCCAAACAAGTGACTAAGGAGAAGGGGAAAGAAGGCGATGGAGAGGAGCCCACCGATGACTCTCTTGCCCAGACTGGAGATGGCGGAGGCCATGAAGCCATGGAAGAGAAGCTCCTTGAAATCCAAGGGAAAATCGAAGCTGTGGAAATGCACTTGACCAGGGAACACATGAAGCGAGTCTTAGGAGAAGTGTACCTGCACACCTGGATCACAGAGAACACCAGCATCCCAACCAGAGGGCTCTGTAACTTCTTAATGTCTGACGAAGAGTATGAGGACAGGACAGCACGGGTAAGTGTTTATGAACAGATACACTGAAGCTGTGGAAAGTGTGCTTGCTTCGTGAGAAAGAAATGACCCAATGGAATGCCTAAGGCTCAATTTTTGCCTTAACAGTTTTTAGATAGTTGATTGGCACGAGGTGCAGGGAAATACATGAGAAACGTGGATGGATGCAGAGCATACTACACAGTAGTTCAGTTCTCTCTGTGGCCTTAACTGTCTGCAGAGTTTTTGAGATGAGATTGCCAGGCTGTGGATAAGCTGGAGGTGGCTGCATTTAGCCAAGTATTATGGGTATCAGAAAAGTCATGGCATATTTTTCTGTGGTTTAAGCAAAAATGCATCATGACTTTTCTGACAACCCAGAGTTCGTACTAGACAGTCAGCAGTGGAAAGGAGGTACCCATGTTTCCTTCCATTTCTGTTGAACAAAAGATTTTCTTATTTTGCAGGGAGTAAAGGAAGTGGGATCTTTCCCATTTAAAAGGCATATAAAGTAAACAGATTACTACTCTGACTTCTACATAAACTAGGCATATTCTTTTTTTTTTTTTAAGAAATTTTTAACTTTATTTATTTATTTTATGGGCCAGAGTGAAAGAGAGAGAGGAAAAGTGAGAAAGCAAGCCGCAAGGTCTAAGACTTGAACTGTGGTCAACCATGTGGGAGTCCAGCATCCTTAATCACCATGTCACCTAGCGGCCCCATGGGCATACTGTTTATTTTGGTGTTAGAACAACCTTACTGTATTATCAAAAGTGTATTCCATAAAATTCATGGTTCCTGTAGCTCGCAGGTGGCATGATGGTTAAGAGCACTGGACTCCCACATGGCCAACCACGGTTTGCTTTCTCACTTTCTCTCTCTCTCTCACCCATCTCTCTCTGGTCAAATTTAAATAAATAAATAAATAAAGTTAAATAAAATAATTCTTAAAAAGAAATTCAGGGTCCCTGACAGAACATTTGGGTTCTAAGCTTGGGGAAATAATAGCATATGCTGAAAGGTTCCTAGCACACATTGTTATGCAGTGGATTCAGAGTTCCTACAAAGATGAGACTGTTTTTTTTTTTTAAGAATTATTTTATTTAACTTTATTTGAATTCGACCTTGGGGGAGGAGGGGTGGGAGGGGAGTGAGAAAGCAAGCCTCCAGGTCTGGGAACTGAACTGTGGTAGGCCATGTGGGAGTCCAGTGCCCTTAACCACCATGCTACCTGCGGGCCCAAAACCATTACCTTTGTGTAGTTTGGTATTACTAGAACTTCTTGATTGGGAAATGTTTCTTACAGCTAACAGCTGCTAAAACCCTGAAGAACTGTGTTCTAAGGAACATATACTGTTTATTAAAATATTCAAGACTTCAGAATCTTTTTTCCTTTCTACTCCAAGGATTGACACTTACCCACATTGCCTAAAATTTTATTTAAAGTATTAATTGAAGACAGTAAATTAAAATAAATTCACTCCCTGTTGTTAAGCCATTCACCAATCACTTGTTGCATTTGTGGGGAAATATGTGTGTCTTTTGAAACTTACATGAACTAATTTTAGTTAAACTAAAATCTTGTGGATTCTTTCATATGAAGCGATTAAGTGGGTTCAAACTTTGAAGGACACTACCTGCTTCTAAGAGCAGGTGGTTTTTTTTTTTTCTTTTTTCTTTTTTTTGGAGAAGTTTTTGCTACAAAGCATGTGTACTTACCAGAAAGACAGAGAGATAGAAAGTAAGAAATCATCCCCTGGAGGGATGGCCACGTTACAATCCCTTCTCCAGTCTCCTCTCGGGATCCTGGCACTCACGCACGCACATGCACTTGGCGTGAATTTAAGCCTCCGGGTTCAGGACTCGAGCTATGGTCTACTACATGGGAGTCCAGCAATATAGCTGTTACACCAACTGCTAGTCCCAAGAGCAGGTGGTTCTTAAAGGTTTGTTGGTATAGCTTATACACTTCAGTGACATACCTAATGAAGTTTATTTTCAACAAAATAATGAAGTAATTAATGTTTCTCAGACTTTTATTTTTGAAGAACGTAATCTTAATTACGCAGAGAAAAGCAAAACAGAAGTAGGCGTGACACCTAGAGCCTGTGCTGTCACCTTCTGTCTCATCACCACCTTCCCATCCCCACAGTAGATCCTAGGGCCACACCTCTGCAGTAGGCTAGTGGATCTTAGATTCCAGACCACTGGACTAGATGGGTCATGGGCCTTTGGGGCTTCAGAGGGGAACTTATTTTAAAGTCCTGGTTATGCTTACTTTGTAAGTCTTTTTTTTAATTGCCAGAAGGCATGCATGTCCACTGTGTACCCCCCAGTGGGGCATGTTGTGCAGCAGACCCCTCTCCATCCTGTAGGATTTGGGGTGTGCATGCACCTGGCGTAGTTTTCAGGCCACTTGTGTGGAGACTACTGTGGCTGATCATGTGAAATCCGGCTCTCTTAACCACGGAGTCATGGGGCTGGCCCTGTGAGCTCCTTTTAAGAATAGATATTTGCACAGTTCTACAGTTGGGATATTTTATAATGTCATAGAGATTATGCTTTTCCTTTTTAATATCAAAACATGTAATAGCTAAATACTTTGTCTTCTAACAGAACTCCTGAAGTCCTTGTTTCAGATGCAACTAAAACAAGGCAAGTAATAAGATTTTGATTTCAGACAGTTTTTCCTGTAGTGGCCATAGTGTGCCCCATTGTCATGGGGTCCCTGAATGAATTTGTTTTGCTTAGACAGTTGACAAAGATTGAAGGTCTAGCATTGTAAACTTCACAGACAGTGTGATGAGCCTATGTAGAAATGTGCAAATCTCCTGTCTCTTCCACAATACTGCATACTTTTCCATTTTTTCTTTGTGTTAGTAGGCTTTTTCTTCAGGAAATCTTGTGCTCACCACTACACTTTGCTGACTTCTTTGTCTTACTAGGTGCTGATTGGGCATATCTCAAAGAAGATGAACAAACAAACTTTCCCTGAGCACTGCAGTCTGTGTAAAGAGGTCTTGCCATTCACGGATCGCAAGCAGGCCATCTGTTCCAACGGCCACATTTGGCTCCGGTAAGCCATTTGCAAGCCTATTTTTTGTTCCTGTTCCAGTTTTGTGTAGCACAAACCACCGAAAGATCTGTGTCCAGGTGACACGTTGCCGTGCCTACGCGTGAAGTGTGGTGAAGCCCAGCGTGGGCTTTGAAGGGTGACCTTTAAAGACCATCCGTACTGCGCGCTGTGCAGTGTTTGGGTGACACTGATTTCCGAAGTTCTGTCAAGTTGTTAGAGCTATTACCCGGTAACACCTGTAAAGTTAGTTAATGTGTCCACGTAGGTGTTTACATGCTTTTTCTGTCAAGTTTTATAATAAGGTAAAAGTTTACTCCCCTCCCCCTTGTCCCTTCCTCTCACTCAAATAATCTTGGTGTGACCTCGTCTTGCTGGCTCGGTGAGCTGCGTTTGGCAGTCATGCCCTCCTCCCGTGGGGCACACACTCCCTGCTTTTCTTTCTGCCCCATCCTCATTCTCACTTCTGCTGATTGTGTCTTGTCTCCTTGATGTCCATTTGGTTTTCTTCTGTTCACACCCTCTCTGGACTGTCACATATCATCTGTTCAGAGTGTCTACAAAGATGAGACTGTTTCTTTTTTTTTTTTTTTTTTTTTTAAGAATTATTTTATTTAACTTTATTTGAATTCGACCTTGGGGGAGGAGGGGTGGGAGGGGAGTGAGAAAGCAAGCCTCCAGGTCTGGGAACTGAACTGTGGTAGGCCATGTGGGAGTCCAGTGCCCTTAACCACCATGCTACCTGCGGGCCCAAAACCATTACCTTTGTGTAGTTTGGTATTACTAGAACTTCTTGATTGGGAAATGTTTCTTACAGCTAACAGCTGCTAAAACCCTGAAGAACTGTGTTCTAAGGAACATATACTGTTTATTAAAATATTCAAGACTTCAGAATCTTTTTTCCTTTCTACTCCAAGGATTGACACTTACCCACATTGCCTAAAATTTTATTTAAAGTATTAATTGAAGACAGTAAATTAAAATAAATTCACTCCCTGTTGTTAAGCCATTCACCAATCACTTGTTGCATTTGTGGGGAAATATGTGTGTCTTTTGAAACTTACATGAACTAATTTTAGTTAAATTAAAATCTTGTGGATTCTTTCATATGAAGCGATTAAGTGGGTTCAAACTTTGAAGGACACTACCTGCTTCTAAGAGCAGGTGGTTTTTTTTTTTTCTTTTTTCTTTTTTTTGGAGAAGTTTTTGCTACAAAGCATGTGTACTTACCAGAAAGACAGAGAGATAGAAAGTAAGAAATCATCCCCTGGAGGGATGGCCACGTTACAATCCCTTCTCCAGTCTCCTCTCGGGATCCTGGCACTCACGCACGCACATGCACTTGGCGTGAATTTAAGCCTCCGGGTTCAGGACTCGAGCTATGGTCTACTACATGGGAGTCCAGCAATATAGCTGTTACACCAACTGCTAGTCCCAAGAGCAGGTGGTTCTTAAAGGTTTGTTGGTATAGCTTATACACTTCAGTGACATACCTAATGAAGTTTATTTTCAACAAAATAATGAAGTAATTAATGTTTCTCAGACTTTTATTTTTGAAGAACGTAATCTTAATTACGCAGAGAAAAGCAAAACAGAAGTAGGCGTGACACCTAGAGCCTGTGCTGTCACCTTCTGTCTCATCACCACCTTCCCATCCCCACAGTAGATCCTAGGGCCACACCTCTGCAGTAGGCTAGTGGATCTTAGATTCCAGACCACTGGACTAGATGGGTCATGGGCCTTTGGGGCTTCAGAGGGGAACTTATTTTAAAGTCCTGGTTATGCTTACTTTGTAAGTCTTTTTTTTAATTGCCAGAAGGCATGCATGTCCACTGTGTACCCCCCAGTGGGGCATGTTGTGCAGCAGACCCCTCTCCATCCTGTAGGATTTGGGGTGTGCATGCACCTGGCGTAGTTTTCAGGCCACTTGTGTGGAGACTACTGTGGCTGATCATGTGAAATCCGGCTCTCTTAACCACGGAGTCATGGGGCTGGCCCTGTGAGCTCCTTTTAAGAATAGATATTTGCACAGTTCTACAGTTGGGATATTTTATAATGTCATAGAGATTATGCTTTTCCTTTTTAATATCAAAACATGTAATAGCTAAATACTTTGTCTTCTAACAGAACTCCTGAAGTCCTTGTTTCAGATGCAACTAAAACAAGGCAAGTAATAAGATTTTGATTTCAGACAGTTTTTCCTGTAGTGGCCATAGTGTGCCCCATTGTCATGGGGTCCCTGAATGAATTTGTTTTGCTTAGACAGTTGACAAAGATTGAAGGTCTAGCATTGTAAACTTCACAGACAGTGTGATGAGCCTATGTAGAAATGTGCAAATCTCCTGTCTCTTCCACAATACTGCATACTTTTCCATTTTTTCTTTGTGTTAGTAGGCTTTTTCTTCAGGAAATCTTGTGCTCACCACTACACTTTGCTGACTTCTTTGTCTTACTAGGTGCTGATTGGGCATATCTCAAAGAAGATGAACAAACAAACTTTCCCTGAGCACTGCAGTCTGTGTAAAGAGGTCTTGCCATTCACGGATCGCAAGCAGGCCATCTGTTCCAACGGCCACATTTGGCTCCGGTAAGCCATTTGCAAGCCTATTTTTTGTTCCTGTTCCAGTTTTGTGTAGCACAAACCACCGAAAGATCTGTGTCCAGGTGACACGTTGCCGTGCCTACGCGTGAAGTGTGGTGAAGCCCAGCGTGGGCTTTGAAGGGTGACCTTTAAAGACCATCCGTACTGCGCGCTGTGCAGTGTTTGGGTGACACTGATTTCCGAAGTTCTGTCAAGTTGTTAGAGCTATTACCCGGTAACACCTGTAAAGTTAGTTAATGTGTCCACGTAGGTGTTTACATGCTTTTTCTGTCAAGTTTTATAATAAGGTAAAAGTTTACTCCCCTCCCCCTTGTCCCTTCCTCTCACTCAAATAATCTTGGTGTGACCTCGTCTTGCTGGCTCGGTGAGCTGCGTTTGGCAGTCATGCCCTCCTCCCGTGGGGCACACACTCCCTGCTTTTCTTTCTGCCCCATCCTCATTCTCACTTCTGCTGATTGTGTCTTGTCTCCTTGATGTCCATTTGGTTTTCTTCTGTTCACACCCTCTCTGGACTGTCACATATCATCTGTACACTGATGACTCAAGCATGTAGTTGGGATATTTTATAATGTCATAGAGATTATGCTTTTCCTTTTTAATATCAAAACATGTAATAGCTAAATACTTTGTCTTCTAACAGAACTCCTGAAGTCCTTGTTTCAGATGCAACTAAAACAAGGCAAGTAATAAGATTTTGATTTCAGACAGTTTTTCCTGTAGTGGCCATAGTGTGCCCCATTGTCATGGGGTCCCTGAATGAATTTGTTTTGCTTAGACAGTTGACAAAGATTGAAGGTCTAGCATTGTAAACTTCACAGACAGTGTGATGAGCCTATGTAGAAATGTGCAAATCTCCTGTCTCTTCCACAATACTGCATACTTTTCCATTTTTTCTTTGTGTTAGTAGGCTTTTTCTTCAGGAAATCTTGTGCTCACCACTACACTTTGCTGACTTCTTTGTCTTACTAGGTGCTGATTGGGCATATCTCAAAGAAGATGAACAAACAAACTTTCCCTGAGCACTGCAGTCTGTGTAAAGAGGTCTTGCCATTCACGGATCGCAAGCAGGCCATCTGTTCCAACGGCCACATTTGGCTCCGGTAAGCCATTTGCAAGCCTATTTTTTGTTCCTGTTCCAGTTTTGTGTAGCACAAACCACCGAAAGATCTGTGTCCAGGTGACACGTTGCCGTGCCTACGCGTGAAGTGTGGTGAAGCCCAGCGTGGGCTTTGAAGGGTGACCTTTAAAGACCATCCGTACTGCGCGCTGTGCAGTGTTTGGGTGACACTGATTTCCGAAGTTCTGTCAAGTTGTTAGAGCTATTACCCGGTAACACCTGTAAAGTTAGTTAATGTGTCCACGTAGGTGTTTACATGCTTTTTCTGTCAAGTTTTATAATAAGGTAAAAGTTTACTCCCCTCCCCCTTGTCCCTTCCTCTCACTCAAATAATCTTGGTGTGACCTCGTCTTGCTGGCTCCGTGGGCTGCGTTTGGCAGTCATGCCCTCCTCCCGTGGGGCACACACTCCCTGCTTTTCTTTCTGCCCCATCCTCATTCTCACTTCTGCTGATTGTGTCTTGTCTCCTTGATGTCCATTTGGTTTTCTTCTGTTCACACCCTCTCTGGACTGTCACATATCATCTGTACACTGATGACTCAAGCATGTATTTAACTTTATTTATTTTAATTTGACCAGAGAGGACAGAGGAAGAGAAAGAGAGAACGTGAGAAAGCAAGCCACCAGGTCCAGGACTCGAACCTTGGTCGGCCATGTGGGAGTCCAGCACCCTTAACCGTCACGCCATCTGCTGGCCCCAGGAACAGAATGTTCTCATAAATTGTTGTATCGCTGTAGGGCATGTGCACGTACCATAGAGAGACAGAAAGTGAGAAATCTTCCTCCCCTCCCCCCACCGCCCTGAAGATGATTGTGCTGTAGTCCCTTCCGCTTTATTCTCCTCGTGGGATTTCACGCATGCACACACTTGTACCTGGCATATTTTTTTAAGCCGCCAGGTCCGGGACTCAAACCATGCAGTTGGCCATGTGGATCCAAGTGATTTAACCACTACTGTATAACCTGTTGGCCTCCCGGAAACGGTTCACCATGAACATTTTTCTGTGATAGTACAATCGTTCATCCACTCTTATTTATTTTTTTTAAATTTTTTGTTTGAGAGAGAGAGAGTTTTGCTATAGGGTGTGTATGCTTGCCAGAGAGACAAGATAGAAAGTGAGAAATCATCCTCGGGGGGATGGCCACACAGCAATCCCTTCTCTATTCTCTTGGGATTTGGGGCATGTATGCACGCATATGCAGTGTGAGTTTTAAGCCACCAGGTCCGGGACTTGAACTGTAGTCAACTATATGAGAGTCCAGTGACATAACCATTATATCATCTGCTGGTTCCAAAAGGTTCCATTTTTTAACAGGTGTAGAGTTTTCCATTGTATGAATATTCCGTATTCCCTTATTTATACATAGTTGGATTTTTTTTTTTTTAAAGGTTTTTGTCATAGGACTCATGCACTCAGAGAGAGACAGCGAGGGAAAATGAGAAATCACCCCCCCCCCTCAGAAGGGATGGCTATGCCAAAGTTCCTTCTCTATTCTCCTGGGATTTTGGGCATGCACTCCTGTATACCTGGTGTGATTTTTCAAGTTGTTGGGTCTGGGACTCGAACCACAGTAAACCCCATGGGAATTCAGTGCCTTAACCACCGCGGCACCTGGTGGCCAAGGATTTTTTACAGTTTTTATTGCATTTCTACACTTTCCCTAATTTGACTGTTCAGACTATTTTTTAAAGAATTATTTATTCATTTTTTTATTTATTATTTTAAAAATTTGCTATTGGGCACATGTGCTCATCAGATAGAGAGAGCAAGCCATCGGGTCAGGGACTCTAACCACAATCGGCCATGTGGGAGTCCGGCACCTCAACCACTACACTACCTGCTGGCCTCTGTTGTTTTTATAAAAGTTCACTTCTTCCAGGAGCTAGAAAGAGAAATAGCACCCCAGCATAGTCCTGTCGTGACGCACTCCCAGCCTGAGCCAGCCTCAGGTCGTGAATACACATGTGCCAGGTTAATCAGGGCAGTCTCTGGACTTGAACTGAGGACCATCCTGTGTGGGTCAGCCTCACAGAATGTCATGTTCTACAGGGGAAGCATGATCTAGGCCCACTATTTCCATTTTTCAGACAAACGGGTCTGGGGCAGTTAAAATAATTGGCCCAGAGTCACTCCGGGGATGAGTGGCGGAGCTCAAAACCGGCCTCTTGCTCCAGGCCCACATGCGTAACCACTATGTGCTTATGTTGCCCAACTGGGCTCTTCCAAAATACCCACCCCCGCCTTTTTTAATTGTCACTAGGTGTGTGCTCCTGCAGCAGAGGTAAGGAGAAAGCATCTCGCAATGGGACATGGGTCACACTGCACTTCCTTCTCCATTTTACCATCCTATTGGAATTTTGGGCACACCCGTAACAACGCACTTGGCATGTCTTTCAAGCCGTAGTCGCCGGATTTGAACCGTAGTTGGTTCTGGGATCTGGCTGTCTTAACCACCAAGCCAGAGGGCCAGGTTCCCAAAAATTATTTTCATTTTTGCTCTGTAAGCTGCTGCCAGAATACCTCAGTGTGGTTTCTCTACATGAGAATGGGCGCTTGCTCTCACTCAGATGTATTTTCTTCCTGTAGGCTCAAGTCTTTACTTGGCATCCCTTCCCCTAATCTTGCTGTGTCTGTGTTTTGCGCTCCTTAGTCGCTCAACATAAAGCCACTGTCTTTTGGAAAACCTTCCCTGTAGAGCCCAAATGCACCGTTTGCTTTCATTGTGTCCTACCTGCTCCTCTCAGCCTGGTCCTGGTGGAGCTCAGTGAACAAGCACTGGTTGGGACTGAACCTGTGAGCGTTTGGTAATGTCTCTTTATTTTTGCCCTCTTTTTTTTTTTTTTTTTTTTATAGAATTAGTTTAATTTTATTTATTCATTCATTTATTTTAATTTGACCAGAGAGATTGAGAGAGATTGAGAGGGAAAGTGAGAAAGCAAGCCACCAGGTCCAGGACTTGAACTGTGGTCGGCCATATGGGAGTGGCCAGCACCTCAACCACCATGCCACCTGCTGTCCCCTATTTTTTCACTCTTAATTTTATTTATATGTATATGTATGTGAATATGTATGTATGTGTATATGTATGCATATGTGTATGTATGTTAGGCTTTTCTACACTGTGCTATCAGATTCTTGAAAATAGTGCTTACACCTAATCTTAAAAAACACAAGGAAGGGGCTGGCAAGTGGTGTGGAGCCAGCAGGTAGCAAGATGGTTAGAGGTGCTGGACTCTCACATTGTTGACCACAGTTCAGGTCCCGGACCTGGCGGCTTGCTTTCTCACTTTCCCTCTCTCTCTCTCTCTGTCTCTTCTGGTCAAATTAAAATAATAATAATAAATAAACTCACTGTGGCTGTGGGCACCCAGGTTCAGTTCCTGGCCCAGCCTTAAAACTGTCACAGGTGCCTGCAGTCTGGCTACCTGGGAGGCCATAGCAGGGAGTGGAGGTATGGCAGACCCTCTGGAAAATACCTCTCTCCCCCCACTGTCTTTCTCTCATTGTCATTAAAAATAATTTTCGATACAATGTGTGATCAATTTTTTTAACCATATCAAGAATCAGAGTACAGTCAAGGATGAATGGACAGGATTTTCCCCCACTGTTATAGACGGGCGGAGGCAGCAACCATCAATTAGCAGATTAGTACTTGTTTGCTAACTAACAGGAAAGCGGTATCTTCACCCAGGGTGGGTGGCCAAGGCTTGGCAGCTTTGGTGGACAGAGTGAGATACTGTTTACATTGTTGCTGTGAGCTTGGGAAATACCCTTTGCTCTCTCACTTGGTTAACATGTGACTTTAGAGTAACTGGGTCAGTGGGGCCACAGGTGGCATGGTGGTTGAGGGTGATGGACTCCCACATGGCCAACCGCAGTTTGAGTCCTGGACCTGGCAGCTTGCTTTCTTTCTCACTCACCCCCCACCTCTTTCTTTCTCTCTCTCTAACTCTGTTCCTCTCTGATCAAATTTAAATGAAGAACAAAGAGTGAGGGACAGGAGGAGGGAAGGAGGAAGGAAGTTAAACTAATTCTTTAAAAAAAAGAATAACAGGTGATGGTTACACAAGTGCACAGCTGTGCAGTTTGTAAAACATGTTGGTCACGTGTGTGTGCATGCATACCCAAAATCCCAAGAGCAGAAAGGGTTGCAGTGTGGCCATCGCCACTGGAGGGTACGCTCTCACTTTTTCTCCCTCAGTCTGGCCACCACACAAAACAGGGGACCAGCAGGTGTCATAATGGTTACGTTGCTGGACGCCCAAGTAGTCGACCACAGTTTGAATCCTGGACCCAGCAGCTTAAAACTCACTGAGAGCATGTTTATACAGGCCCAAAATCCCAAGAGAAGGGCGGCCTCCCCCGGCGGGGGGGGGGGGGATTTCTCACTTTCTCTTTGTCTTTCTCTCTCTCTCTCTGGCAAAGCACACCCACCCCAGAGCAAAAATCTCTGTTTAAGAGAAAAAACAAAGAATTGACTATCTAAAGTGAGAAAGCAAGCCACCAGGTCCAGGACTTGAACTGTGGTCGGCCATATGGGAGTGGCCAGCACCTCAACCACCATGCCACCTGCTGTCCCCTATTTTTTCACTCTTAATTTTATTTATATGTATATGTATGTGAATATGTATGTATGTGTATATGTATGCATATGTGTATGTATGTTAGGCTTTTCTACACTGTGCTATCAGATTCTTGAAAATAGTGCTTACACCTAATCTTAAAAAACACAAGGAAGGGGCTGGCAAGTGGTGTGGAGCCAGCAGGTAGCAAGATGGTTAGAGGTGCTGGACTCTCACATTGTTGACCACAGTTCAGGTCCCGGACCTGGCGGCTTGCTTTCTCACTTTCCCTCTCTCTCTCTCTCTGTCTCTTCTGGTCAAATTAAAATAATAATAATAAATAAACTCACTGTGGCTGTGGGCACCCAGGTTCAGTTCCTGGCCCAGCCTTAAAACTGTCACAGGTGCCTGCAGTCTGGCTACCTGGGAGGCCATAGCAGGGAGTGGAGGTATGGCAGACCCTCTGGAAAATACCTCTCTCCCCCCACTGTCTTTCTCTCATTGTCATTAAAAATAATTTTCGATACAATGTGTGATCAATTTTTTTAACCATATCAAGAATCAGAGTACAGTCAAGGATGAATGGACAGGATTTTCCCCCACTGTTATAGACGGGCGGAGGCAGCAACCATCAATTAGCAGATTAGTACTTGTTTGCTAACTAACAGGAAAGCGGTATCTTCACCCAGGGTGGGTGGCCAAGGCTTGGCAGCTTTGGTGGACAGAGTGAGATACTGTTTACATTGTTGCTGTGAGCTTGGGAAATACCCTTTGCTCTCTCACTTGGTTAACATGTGACTTTAGAGTAACTGGGTCAGTGGGGCCACAGGTGGCATGGTGGTTGAGGGTGATGGACTCCCACATGGCCAACCGCAGTTTGAGTCCTGGACCTGGCAGCTTGCTTTCTTTCTCACTCACCCCCCACCTCTTTCTTTCTCTCTCTCTAACTCTGTTCCTCTCTGATCAAATTTAAATGAAGAACAAAGAGTGAGGGACAGGAGGAGGGAAGGAGGAAGGAAGTTAAACTAATTCTTTAAAAAAAAGAATAACAGGTGATGGTTACACAAGTGCACAGCTGTGCAGTTTGTAAAACATGTTGGTCACGTGTGTGTGCATGCATACCCAAAATCCCAAGAGCAGAAAGGGTTGCAGTGTGGCCATCGCCACTGGAGGGTACGCTCTCACTTTTTCTCCCTCAGTCTGGCCACCACACAAAACAGGGGACCAGCAGGTGTCATAATGGTTACGTTGCTGGACGCCCAAGTAGTCGACCACAGTTTGAATCCTGGACCCAGCAGCTTAAAACTCACTGAGAGCATGTTTATACAGGCCCAAAATCCCAAGAGAAGAGGAGAATTATGGCGCGGCCATCCCTCGGGCGGGGGGGGATTTCTCACTTTCTCTTTGTCTTTCTCTCTCTCTCTCTGGCAAAGCACACCCACCCCAGAGCAAAAATCTCTTTTTAAGAGAAAAAACAAAGAATTGACTATCTGTGGTCGAGTGACCTTCAACACTGTCTGCTGTACTCTTCCAACACAATCTGTTTTCTTTCAGGTGCTTTTTAACTTACCAGTCCTGCCAGAGTTTGATATACAGAAGGTGTCTGCTTCATGACAGCATTGCCCGGCATCCGGTCCCAGAAGGTGAGCGCTTTCCCAGGCTTGCAGAGTGGCTGGGACACTCTGGCACAGTGCAGCACCCTAGTCCCGGCTTGGGCCTGGCTCCCCAGTACTCGCTAACGGCCATCAGGGACAGAGAGCGGGCTGCTGCCACCTTGTACAGTGTCATTGTGACGCCACAATTAAGTTTGAGAAACAGTGGTCGCGATTTACTGTGTGCAGAGACATACTCCACTCCGGTCATGAGATGAATGGGTATGCTGTGGCTTTGTTGTCACAAGTTCTTTCTTCCAGAAGCTATCAGCGCTTGTTTGTGATGGTAAGTAAAGGTTACATTTGAGTGACAGCTTCAGTGACACTGGGCCAGGAATGGGGACACCCAGGCGTCCTGCTAGCCATGATGGTTTCCTGGTCAGTCTGTATTTCCTTCTCTGAGAGCCCTTGTGACAAAGCACACATTTCTACTTTGAAGATAACTAGCTGGAAATAAGATGATGGATGTGGACAAGAAATTAGGGATTTATTCAGCTTTTTAAAACACTTGCTGGGTGTGTGTGTGCTCACTTTGGGAAGAGAGGAAAAATGAGAAAGCATTCCCCATGGAACACGGTCATGTTACGGTCCTTTCTCCTCCATTTCTCCCTCCTTTCAGGATTGTGGGTGCACATACACACCTGGTATATTTCTCAAGCTATCACGTCTGGGGTACGGTTGGCCCTGTGGGATCTGGCCGCCTTAACAGCCAGGACTCAGGCTGGCCCTGAATTAGTGATTTAATAACTATGTGAACATCAGTTAACTTTTTTTTCTTTATTCATGTGAGAGAGAGAGAGAGAGAGAGGGAGGAGCACCCTCCACAGGTTTGATCCTGCCACCGTCCTCCCATCTTCTAGCACAGGCCTCTCTATCAGGCCAATTGGACCGGGGAGTCACTGTGATTGCTCTGTGGGATCTGGCTTCTCGTAAACAGCACGTTAACTGCAACACAATGGAGCCAGCCTGAATGTCACATTTTGACCCGATGCTTATTAACATCACACACTAACCAAATGAGCTAATGAGACACAAGCATAAACAATTCCATAACACTGCAGAGGAAATTTATTGTCTCAATGAACTGAAATAGAAAGCTTTTATGTGAAACTGTGGCTTTTCCATGTTATCTGCAGCCCCTCCACCACTCTCCTATTGTTTAGGAATGCATGCTGAGGACTTTTGTTGTTTTTATTGTTTTAGTTTGCTGTAGGGTACATGTGCTGGCTGAAGAGAGAGTGAGAAAGCACTCCCAGGGGAGTGGCCAAGCTCGAGTCCTTTCTCTACTTCTCTTCCTTTCTCACCTTGGGATTTGGGGTACACACACAACACACACCCAGCATGTTTTCAAGTTGCCAGCTCCAAGATTGAACTACACACTTGGCCATATGAGATCCAGCCAGCTTAATCCCACACCACTGGTTGGCCCCATTTTGAGGAACTTTAACAGAGTGGAACAGGGTTGGCCCTGTAGTACAGTGGTTAAGTGCTGTGCGGCGTCACACATATTCTACAGTGGTTCGAATCGGCCCTGATGGCTTCAGAAAGATGCCAGACATGTTTTTGTGTGTGCTCAGAATTCCAGCAGGATCGAGAAATGAAAGGAAAAGGATCTGTGGCATGACGACAGTCCAGTACTTTGTCTCTCGCTATCTCTGACAGTTAAAAATGAAAAAGTGTATGAAGGCTGTGCCCTCAGAATAAAGCATAGTCCCTTTAAGTAGAATCAGTTTAGCTCTATAAAGCATTCATTGCCCTTATTCTCCTATTTCCTCAGAGAGGGGTGAACAGTTCATCACACACCCAGCTTAGAACCCCACATTTAGTCCAGCCTCCTTACAGGGTTAGAAACCTAAGCCTAGGGACCAGCAGATGGCATAATGGCTATGTCGCTGGACTCCCCGTGGAGTCGACCGTGGTTCGAGTCCTGTACCTGGTGGCTTAAACTCACGTTAGGCACATGTGCATGCGTGCCCAAGATCCCAAGAGGAGAATGGAGAAGGGTTTGCGACGTGGCCGTCCCCCCTGGGGGTTGATTTCTCGCTTTCTGTCTGTCTGTCTGTCTCTGTCTCTCTCTGTCTCTCTCGGTCTTTCTGGCGAGCACATGTGCCCTATAGCAAAAATCCAAAAAAATAAAGAAAGAAAGAAACGTAAACCTACAGGAGAGAAGTGCTCAGTCCCCAGAAACACAGCTGATGATTTGCAGAGCTGGGGCCCAGTGCCCGCCTCTTGATGCTACAGCCTGGTGTTCATCCCATTTTCCTGCCTCCCCGAAGCTAATGCTGGGTCCCACTTGTCTTCCCTTTGCAGATCCTGACTGGATTAAGAGGTTGCTGCAGAGCCCCTGCCCTTTTTGTGACTCTCCTGTCTTCTGAGTGTCACTGGTGGAAAGATGGAAGGGCACAAACTCTGCTGTAGAAAACGCCCTCTGTTCCGAAGAGAGGGTGCGCCCAAGAAAGCCTGGCCCTCGGGAGTCGGAGGCGCCCTTCGTGACTGAAAAGGGGGCCTGGAGCTCCTTTCTGAAGGCAGACCATCTCCAGGGAAGGAGCATAGCTTTTAAAGTGGCAGGACACAGTTTGAGTCATTTTGAGATGAACATTAATTAGCCTCTGTGTTCTTATCTAGTGAGGAACACTTATTTTCTAAGTGTCTGGACTGAAGCAGTTTGAACAAAAGGAATATTCTGTCATTTGTAGAAACAGAATGATCTCTTCTAGAGAGTTCGGGTAAAGGCTTTGCTGGGCTGAGTTACAGGCTTTATACTCACTCTGGTCTGGAACTGCTTTGTGGCTTGAGAGCTTCAATTGTTTGGTATGTGGCATTAAAAGTGTCTAAAACAGCATGTGGGCTGATACTTGTTCTCAGTAAATAGCTACAGATCTGTTTCCCATTGATCATTTTCATGCATATTGAAAACATTTTCCTAAAACTATTTTTAAGTAGTTTCAGCCAAGACTAAAGTTGTTTTTAATGTGTGGAATGAGCAGGTGATTATGACAAGTTATTAGTTGTAAGTGACTTCATGTTTCCTTGTCTCCTGTGCTGACCCAGCTCCTCAGTACGTGTGCAGGTGTCAGGTACCCCTGTTCACCGAGTACACCCCGCTCTCCGACGTCACTGTGAGAAAGCACCTGGAGGTATGTGAACGTAGAAGGAAAGAAAGACAACTGTGCTTTGAGTGTTAAGTTAAAACTTGAGATGTTACTGATGTTGACATTTGCGGCCATTTCGTTATTATCCCTGATAAGGGCCCATTTAGAGACTTTTGGAGAGAGATGGCAGCTCAGGTGGAGACTGGGGCTCTGGTGCTATAGGTGTGTGTGGTTGTGTGAGCAGAGCCTGGAAATTCTGCTCTTTGCAGAGGTCCTTGGTATTTGGAATACAGGTATTTTTCTGTGGGTTAGTAAGAGATGTCAGATGTCCATTTTGATGACTTATTCTTAAACCTAAAGTCGACATTCTGGAATTACAGTAGTCTTAGATTTTGAAACGTGTCCTAGGGGGTTCGTGCTCACCAACAGGACTTTAGTGCACCCATCTTGAAGTGGTGCATATTTCAAGTTGGTAGGAAACACAGAATAGGAATTCCTTTTTTCCCTTTTTTTTAAAACTATCGCTAGAAGGCACATGTGCTTGCCAGATAGACAGAGACAGTGAGAAATCACCCCCCAGGGGAGATGGCCATTGCCACAGTCCCTTCTCCATTCTCCACTCAGGATTTTGAGCACACACTCACACAGTTTGAAGTTGCCAGATCCAGAACTTGAGCCATGGTTTACTATGTGGGAGTTCAGTGACATAACCATTATGCCATCTGCTGGTCCCCAAAATAGGGATTTCTTAACTCATATTGTATTCTGTCTTTTTCATTTGTATTCAAATATAATCTTACTTTTATCTTGTATTCTTTGTGAAAGATGCTTCGTTCTCACTTGGGAAACAGTGTTTGAATGGCGTTGTGTCGCGGCACCTGTACCCTCCCCTCCTCCTCCCCGTACGCAGTAGAGAAAGCCCTCGAGAGAGGCCACGCCCAGACAATCCACTCAGAAATGTCTTTTAAAGTTTCTTATCCAGATGGTTTTGTCTCCTGTGTTTAATTGTATATTCATATGAATCTTCTGCATTTTTTTTTTTTTTTAAAGAGATTTTTGTAGGGGCCAGCAGGTGGCGTGGTTAAGAGCGCTGGACTCCCACATGGCCCACTACAGTTGGGAGTCCCAAACCTGGTGGCTTGCTTTCTCACTTTCCATCTCTCATTCACTCTGTCCCTCTCTGGTCAAATTAAAAAATAAATACATAAATAAAGTCAAATTTTTTTAAAGTTTTTTTTTTTTTTTTTTTTAAAGAGAGACTTTTGCTATAGGGCATGTGCACTCACCAGAGAAACAGACAGAAAGCGAGAAATTACACCCCAGGGGAGATGGCCACACTGTAGTCCCCTCCTCCATTGTCCTCTCAGGATTTTGGGCACCCATGCACTTGTCTGGCTGGAGTTTTAAGTCTCTGGATCCAGGATTCGAACTGCAGTCGGCTACATGGGAGTTCTGCAGTGTAACCATTATGCCATCTGCTGGTCCCCTGCCTTTTTCCCCCCTCATTTCGGTGGTAGTTTTAGGAATAATATTTATCCAGATTTGATGGTTCAGATGTTAATTGATTTTCAAGAATGAGAACTATGCAGTATTAAAATCAGGAGCAACACAATTCAGGATATTGTGGTTGAAGTCGTCTGCCTGCAGCTGTTCCCCTTTTCAGTGCTGCAGTGGACATTGAGACTGGCCCTGCTGTGGTGGTGCAGATAGCCCCACTGCTCAGGCTGCTGGAGACCTTGCTCAGTTCCTCGGCCAACCTGAACACCCTGGCTGTACGCGCCTGTAATTGTAATCCTAGCTTACTAGGAGGCAGGGCCAGAGGATCACAATGTGGCGAGACCCTGTCTCCTCTCCCACCTCTCATCAGAGTACTAACAAGATAGATCATGTTGAGGGATGACTGCAGTTTTAATAATCATGGCACCCTTAGATTCCTCCTTTTTGTGTCTTCATCAGAATCTAGAGGGGTTTGTTGTTGGGTAATTTTGTGCTGCTGCCGTTTAAAACTTTGAAGTTCTTATTTAAGGCAGTTGTGTTTTTTTGACAGAATTTGACTATTAAGAGTAACTAAAAAGGAGCTCCTGGATTTTATGTCCCTGAAGGAGTAAACAAACTTGGCAACTGTTTCACTAGAGTGGATTCTTTCTGCAGGGACTTGGTCCAGTGGCATGCCTAAAACTTGAAAACCCAGCCAACATGTACGGCGGCTGAATTTATACACCTCTGATTTGGAAGCCTTTCCTCACCCCTCTCCCCTCCTCTCAGTGGTTAGCCTATTGAGCTGGGGAAACAAGGTTGTGAGGTCATGGTAGCCTCCAAACAGTGCACTTCAGGGTGACCCTAACGGTCAGAGCAGGTTGGTTGGAGGACACTGGCCGGTGAGGTCTGGCAAAGGGGGAGTGCACCAGGAATCTTCTGCTGCTTCTGGTGTGAACGCATGTCCCCTCTGCCTGCCCAACATTGCCTGATTGGCTTGGTAGATCTCACGTTATTTATGCTATAACCGTAACAACTGCTTCCGGAAAGGAAAAAAGGATTGATGTTGCTGCCCCAACACGCAGGAGCGAAGGTTCTGTACAATTAGGCCTCTTAAGCGACATTTGCATTTGACCACATAGGTACCCCATTTTCTCTGCCTGGGGTTAATTTGTTCTTACTATTCTAGATAAGAAATCGCTAGGTTGTTATGCTTGATATTCATTCTGAAATCCTCATGTGTCCCCCACCCAAACTTCAAGCGATCTCTGCCTACCGTTACATCTGCCAAACCTACCAATTATTTTTCAGTGTCACAAGTGATTAGAACCACTGAGAGAGCTCGAGGTCAAGTTTGACATTTTTCTACTTTTCCCTCTAAGTTTTCAAGAATTTTAACGTCAAAGTATGTAGGTTGGACCTATTAGCTAGCTTAACAGGTTAATTACATTGAAAGATGTTTAAGAAGTAATAACTAAACATTAAAGTATATTCTGTTGTAATGGTGGCACATAGATGCAAGAGGAATGTTGGCTTTGTGTGTGCTGCTCCCCGCAGCAGGTAAACTGCCGTGGAGTTTGGTGAATTGCTGCAGTTCCCAGAATAGACCCAGGAGCTGGTGTTAGCTGGTTTCCACGGGGGCTGTTTATCCACTTCTTCTCCTGACCGCTCTCTCTTGCTTTTTTTTTTCCAAAGAGATCCTCTTGATTTCCATTCCTTTAGTTCCCTCAGCTTTGAGACATGTTTAGAGCTAACAGAGTTCGTGTTTGGTAGCAAAATGAATTAATCCTTTTTTTTTTTTTTTAATTATACTTTCCCCAGACAGAAAGTACCCACCAATGAATGTGGTTCACTGCAATTCTTTCTAAACCTCCAGGGCCAGGACCTGAACCACAGTTGGCCTTGCACATCCAGCTCCTGATGCACAACACTTAAAATTTCTAACAGCTAAGCCTAGTAGTGGACCTCACTCCCTTGAAGAAACTTCTGTGCAGTAGTATTTCTCTCTGAAGGTAACAGTATTCGTTGTAGTAACTTGGTAAATTGTATCTGGTTTTCTCGAAATGTTTGTTTTTGTTACAGTTTCTCCCTGAGAGCACTCAGTAACTCCTGTTTGGACTTAGGGTTAAGGGAAGGAGGACTTTAGTTCCTCTTGCCAACCCTAGAAGCCTTCTACCCCCGCCTCCCTCAGTGTTTTGTTTTGTTTTGTTTTGTTTTGTTTACCAGATTTTTGCCATAAGGTACATGTGCTTAACAGAGAGACACAGGGAAAGTGAGAATCCTCCAGCGGGAGAGCCACACCACAATGCCTTCTACTCTGTTCTCCCAGGATTTTGGGCGCACACACGCACACGTCCTGTGTGATTTTCAAGCTGCCAGGTCCGGAACTCGAACTGGGGTCAGCCATGTGGGAGAGTCCAGTACCTTAAACACCATGCCACCTGCTGGCCCCTGCCAGTGTTACTTTATTTATTTTTTTTTTTTGAGAGTTTTTTACCACAGAGTGCATGCGCTTGCCAGAAAGATAAAGCAAGAAATCACCCTCCTAGGGGGGCTGGCCACACTGCAGTCCCTTCTCCATTCTCCTCTCAGGATCTTGGGTATTACACCAATAATTTGCTATAGGGCATGTGCGCTCGCCAGACAGAGACAGGAAGCAAGAAATCACCCCCCAGGGGGGATGGCCACACCGCAGTCCCTTCTCCTCTGTTCTCCTCTCGGGATCCTGGGCACGCATGCACATGCGCCTGGCGTGAGTTTCAAGCCACCGGGTCCGGGACGCGAATCGCGTCAACTACATGGGAGTCCAGCAACATAGCCATTACCCCAACTGCTGTTCCCCCCAGTGTTTTTCTTAAGTGAAAATAATAGGGTAAAGCTAAACTCAATGGATTATGCTCAAAGTCAGCAAGTTGCCAGATACTTGGTCTCTACAGTTAGCTTGGCCTGTTTTGCATCTGCGTGGCTTCCGTGATCCAGTATGTGTCTTTATGTACACTAACTGCTCTTGCTGTTGGTGGAGTTTAGCAGTTGAATGAGCCTGTGGAGTGTCTCAAGAATCTAACTTTTCCTCTAGGTTGTCACATTTAAAAAATTCCTCTAAAGAATGTAAAAGAGGTGAATTGTTTTCGTGTAGTCATTAGTGAAAGTATTAACTGGCAGCCTCAGTTTTAGACTGTGTTTCAGGGCTCTCATAGTTAAACTTTGAACTACTCTTACATGAGGCTGCAAGAGACTTGAAGTTCAGAGCTGGTTCATCTGCTGTGTTAACTGC